AAATTTGTAAATACAATTAACTTTTAAAATGTCAATCCAGTTGATCACCGTTTAGATTACAATTAAAAACACATTCTTGGCTTTTATATCAAACAATTAAATGCAACTTGAACCTTTCCGATTAAATAATTAGACAATTAATTATCTTACCAAAAGTATTAAAGGTTAATTGTGAATTGAACTTGGATGATGTTGATGGTGTTTTTTGTGTTTTGTATTTGTCGTTGATTGTCACAAGAAGACAAAGTGATCTTAATCGTTCCAATTACGAAATTCAATTCCAATGGACACACAACAACAATTAACCATTTTCGACAATTGATTTCAATTAAAGTACACGAAGAAAAAAATATTAATCGTTGATTAAATGGGAGAAAGTCAAAAAACGATCCACCTAAATAACCACAATTAGTTACCAGAAATTAAAGAAGATGAAGAAAGTGAATGAGTGAGTGAGAGAGAGAGGAAGATGAAGATGAAGGAGGGAATTAATTTAAACATAGTGACATAATTACTTACATTAGATGATTTTTAGTTAATTACAGTGATTAAAACAAAAACAATCGAAACTTCATCTTAAATAATCAGCATAAAGGGTTGGGTTTATGAGTCGAAATGAATTTTTTTCCTGTTTACTTTTCAACCTTCTTTGTGTGTTGATTGTTGTTAATTGTTTGCAATTGAGATAATTTTGTATAAAATGGATTAACTTGATTACGAATTTCATCAGAATTCAATCAATCATTGATAGTTAAACATCTCATCTTTGGATACAACAAATCAACAGTTAAAAGAGTTTCAAATCAACAAACTAAAACTTTTATCATTCTTTAATTTTCTTCTAATTGTTTTACAATTTAAGTTGTTAATTTCTAATAAAAATCTATTACCTTTAAAAGATCAATTCAATTCATCATGTTTATCAATCTTAAATCTGTGTTAATTTGTGTTACCAGTGTTATCTTGGTAATGATTTGTTTAGATTGTGCCTCAGCTACTGGACACGGCGACGGAGGTCATAGTAACATTTTCCGTAAACAAGAATCAACTAAAGGTCATTCTCATTACGCTTTCGGTTACGACATTAAGGATCCATGGGGAGCAACCAACTTCCGTAAAGAGAAAGGTGATTTCACCAAGAAAGACGGTTGGGTCGAAGGTGTTTATGGATTGAAGGACAAAGATGGACGCGCTCGATTGGTCAAATATGTCGCCGATAAGAATGGTTTCAATGCTGAGATCAAGACCAACGAACCAGGTACAAGTGATGCCGATACTGCGGCTGCAACTTACAATGGTGCCGATGGTAATAAAGGTAAATGGAGCTACGATGTTTCCGTTAAGGACAGTGGAAAGTCAAAGGGTAAAGACTCTTGGAGCGCCGCTGCTTCAGAATTGAAGATTTTCTCAATTAAACCAAAACAATCTGAGGAATATGTTCAATCACCACAATCGGAAGATTCCGAATCACCAGCTGATTACTATCCAGCAGAATATGAGGCCAGGTCATCACCTCCATCGTCTTCACTTGGACCTGCCGATGATGAATATCAATACGAACCTCAAACCAAACAAGCTCAAGTTAAGAAATTAAAACTTTACCTTAAGCCCCAATACGATTACTATTACGGTTCACCTGCTGAAGAAAGTGCTTGAAAAAAGCCAATAACCGATTATTATTATTCTCGATTATTAATCTAACATGATTGATTTTGTAGTTTCTGATTGATTGGTGATACGACTAATCAGAAAATATTTATTCCAATTCATTTTTTTCTTTCACCATAAATGTAATTTATCCAATATTATACTCACTCATCATTGTTAACTGTAACATTATTTTACAAATAACGTTTACAGTTATCATTTACTTTATATATATGTATGTATTTGTATCTCTGACAAAAGTTAATTTAAATAAATTCAATGCTCATCCATAATCAATCCTTTTGAATGAAATTTTCTAATTACATTGAGTTTGATTTTTAAGTTTTCGTCGCTGTTGAGGTTGTGTCTTTCTTTTCTGGACAATTTGTAATATCCATCAGATTCTTGGTTAAAGGCATGGTAATTAATCGTTGATTGAATTTGAAATTTTGATTCTGGGTCACGATACATTCCCAACTTTTATATTTCTCAGTGAATTCCATGGAGTTTGAAGAAACGGATGTTGCTGATCCATCGGTTTTTGATTCGATGGATGATGTTTTGATTCGAGGGGGAAGTTGAATTGCAAAAGAAATTACATCATCTGTATTTCTTGCACTTGATTCCAATTCCGTGTATCTTTTCAGTTTATCATGAAGAGTGAATCCTTTACTTTGTAAAATTTTATTCAACTGACGATCTTCATTGAGCATAAAGTTAATTCCAAGAAAAACGATTTCCTGGTCATTGGTTAAGACTAATTCCTGGCAAATGGGATCAGTTATGGTAAATGAATGTGCTTCAAACAAATCAACTTCCCGTTGGGTACAACTTGTATAACTGTTGGCTTCTTGCCCTGATAGCAATTGATTATTTGATGAATTGTCAGACTGTTTTTCTGGTGATGATGATGATGGTGATGTTACAACTGCTGTAGATGATGATGATGTTGATTGTGTTGTTGATGGTGGTGGTGTTGCTGTTGTATTTGCTGATGTATCACGATTTTCTTTATCATTATTGGTTGGCATTGGAGGTGAAACTTTAACCAGACGGATCTTAACATCTGATCCACAATGAGATAATCGTAATTTAACTAGATTATCCGATTCAGCGACAAGATGACATAATATAATGTTAATATTAGCCAATTCTTTTCGACTATTCCTGTTTGATTGTTGACAATCATTAGAACTTTCTTTCGTAGATTTTTCATCTTTCTTTGATTCTTCAGTTTGCTGAACATTAGGATTACCATCGATCTCTCCATTAGCATTATTTTCTTCCTCTACTTTTTTCTGATTTTTAATCTTCTCCAATCTTAATATACGTTCTTCATCCAGAAATTTGTAACAAGATAATATTGTATTCTTCATGTAAGATCCCCATGTTTCTGGGCACATTAATTCAGCTTCAAAGATTCGTTTCAAATTGGAAGCAAGTTGACCAGCATTTGGATCACCAGTGATCAGTCCTATTAAAATACCTTTACCTGAAAGACGAAACATTAAATGACAGTAATAGAAATAGATTATAAGACTTAGAGCCATCTAAAAATATGGAACTAAATTTAGATTTAAAAATCAGAATGATTAAAAATTAATTACACCATTTGAGTTGTCAAATTGTCATTGACTTGTCAATAAGTAAGAATCTAATTTTGGAAAGGATGACAAATATTAACTTACGACAATCTAATGGATTATCTCCTGATGGTGAATTAAATTCAACCACCGTAAGGGAACTTAAATCGCTTAGAAATTTGTTCGACATCGCCATTATTACTGGACTAGGGTTGATATCGTTAGAACAACGAGTTTTAACCATTTCAACTTTTGACCATTTATCAGTCCACCGAAAATCAGGATAATAATTATCTAAATTACCAGAGATATCCAAGTATCTGAGTGAAGGAAGATAACGAACTATCCTTTGAATGGTTCGACGGTCAAAGTTAATCTCATTATTGGATAAATCAAGAGAAACACATAAATCAAAACCAACGAAAGATGGTAATCCCATTAATCCAGAACTGTGAAGATAAAAACGTTCAATGATCGAATTACCCTTAATCCCTCTCAAGTTACGCCAATAGATTCCAGATACATTGAGCTCTCGAAGAAATTTAAACGAAGAGAAATCAATTCGTAATCGTAAATCATTTGAATCACCAATAGAATTGTAAGAAAGATTAAGTTTAACCAAGTGGGTGAAAGTGGAAGCAATTAACTGTAATGTGGATTCGTTTATGGCTATTTGATTAAACGATAAGGCCAAAGATTCAATTGTATCATTTGAAGATGGAAATGTGATCGATGTCAATTCGTTGCAGCTTAAATTAAGATTTTTTAAACTGTTGATTGAAAAAAGAAGAAGAAAAAAATAATAACTTGATTAGTTAATTAGCAACACTTTTTTTCTCTCATAATTCAATTAGTTAATCAAGGTTTTACTCCACATTATTGCTTGACTAATCAATCGATTTGAATGACAGTTAAAAATTAAACAGAATTGAAATGTTTCCGTTTTGAAGCATCACTTTTAATCAAAGTAGTCAAGCTAATCAAAATTGAGAAATGACAGTTAATGGAAAGAGACTTAATTATGATTGATAAATAAAACATCTCTAACAATTCAAAATGGCTGAATTTCTCTGAATAAACATAATTTAATCAGATCAAAACTTCAACTATTACCTGCGATTATTAAAAATGGAAAAGTAGAGAAGCAAAAAATGAGAAGAAAACAATTGTAATTACCATTTGAATTTAGTTATTTGATTAGGAATTGATTTGAGAGAGCAAAATGACAAATTAAGACATGTTAATTTCTGCCCTGAATCAGTAGAGAATTTGGAAACAAAATCATCCAAGATGGCACAAAATTGATTAGGCGATTTAATTAACTCGGAAGATGAAGAAACACAATTAGTCCTTTTAACGTTAATTGGATTGACCGGTGTACCACCGATTGGTGAACAGATTGATTTACTTTTAACACTAGAACAATTAACTGAGGTTAATGTGGTGGTAGTTGTGGTTGTAGAAGATGATGAAGAGCTGATTGGTGATTTAATCAACGACGAATTGTTAATTGTAGATGGAATTGTTGTCGCTGCTCCAATTAAAGGTGAACTCTTGACCAAAACAACCTCAGAGCTTTTACTTTGAGTCTTTGTCTTAAGCGTAACCATTGGTAACCGAGAACAAAAATTAGAATAGAAAAAAAAATTTTCTTTTTGTGGAAAAATTAATTTGGATTAACCAAGTTGTTCACTTTTTCTTAATTTAGTTTAAATTGTTTTCTTTCACTGTTACTGGTTAATTTTGTTTCTTCTTTTAACTGTTAATCAACTTAAATGATGGAATTGTTGCCATTTCAAATGATCGTTTGAGAATTTTAAATTAAATCATTTCAACTCTTTTTTCTTGTCTCTCTCTCTCTCTCTCTTCATCTCTTTTCATCTATAATATGGATCCACCTTCATCTTTTATTATCTTCATCATCATCATCAACTTTCATTCCAAATCTCACCAAATCAACTTCAATTGTTCCTTCAGGCTTCATCAATGGTCCGTGATTCCATCCCTCTTTTAATCTGCTACTGTACCTTTTGCCCAGTCAAGTCTTTTTCTGGAGATTCCGATAACAACTGAATTATTTTCCTTCTCATTAACTTACCATCATCATAATCACCATCATTTCAAATGATCGGTTTAATTAACCTGTTTTCTTCTTAATTTTCGTCCAATCTTCTTTTTCTATTCTTTTCTCAATTTGTATAATGTGTGAGAGATTTTATTCAATTAGATTTTGTTTCAATGTATTGATCTTTCCCTTTTCTTTTCATTTCGTTTTGCAACAGGTAAACATTTTACTCTTCAATCGAATCAATTTCTCCCCTGTAACTTGAATTTCATGATTCGAGTTTTGAATCTACGAATCAACCCGCCGATATAATTCCCACCATTCTAATTAAATCAGTATGCATGTACTACTTTCATTTCCTTGCTCATTTGGTGCTCGGTTGGATGGTCATTTTCACAACAATCAGTTTGGACAATCAACATGAAAAATTTTTTCCTACTAATTTGAAATTAGTAATTTCAATATCTGAAAAAAAAGTTAAACCAGGACAGCGGTCAATTGGTAAACGATTAAGTTGATTACATGTATTTGTTATCATCTCCTCGTCACTCAATTAAATTGGAAGTGTGTTCATATCAATTGGTAGTTTCAATTGTTGGTGATTCAATTTTGAACAATCAAAATCAAAATCAATACAAAATCTATTTTTGAATAATTCGCAAATGGAAATCACTACACAGAGTAAATTATATCTTATCAAATTCAATATACACCAAAGCTGAACCTCGGTAAGATTAAATTATAACCATAATCATGGATTAGCTGATTTATTGGACAATCATCATTTCGAGTACAATTAGTTTGTTTCGGATAAAGTTGGTTGATATGTGATTCTGCAAACGCCTTAAAGAAAATGTCATTAACTTTTGCTGCTAATTGTGGAATCAGAATAATGGAAGCCGCCAACTGATGATTGAAAAAAGTGTTCATCTTAATCATCTTACTGATTACAATTCAAATTGTTACTTGACCCGAGGAATTCAGGGAACCAACGATTATATTTCTCATCTTTAAACTTGAAATTTTGTTAATTCTTTTTAAATCTTTTCAATTTGATTCCTTTATCTTTGAATAATTGAGTTATCCTCTAATTGTTAATCATTGGATTTACTTGAAACTTGAGAATTTACTGTTCACGGATTGAAAACATGAAGAAGAAAAAACAATTAATCAATTGGTTGGTTAATTTTAACAATCTTTTAATTCAATGGGTAAATACACACTTTGTTTTTCCATGCACATACAAATCCATACATATTTTTATGTGGAATCATAATTGTGGTTTTCTTTTAAATGAAAGAAATTAATTACAATTAACACCGATAATAACAATGAGAGCAATTGTTTGTCCCTCATGTTAAAACAATAAACGATTCACTTTTCAATGGAGTTGATTGTTTCGTCTTTTCATTTTTTTTTCTTATTTGGATTAAGAAATCATTCAGGATTAAGCAAACCAATGATGATTAATACAGTTAACTGATTGTTTCAAGTTGATGATCATGATTATTGTGATAAAGATGAAGAATGATTAATATTAATGATTTGGTTAATCAATAGTCCGGTTCATTACAGTTTTTAACACAAATAGCAAAAAGTATCACATCAGATATAACAAGGCAATAGAAAATGGACAAACCAAGATTAAGTAGATTTACAAGGATTGACATGATGAATAAAGAGATTAGATTAAAGATTACACAGAAAAGGTAACAATATCTTTCCTTAATTGTACCATAAATACCAAAAAAATTAGTAAAAAGGGTTAACAGGTAAAACATATGAAACTCAATAAGATGAGTTTCAACCAACGGAACAGCTAATCCATAAGCGATTAAATAAACAATTGAACTGGAAATTAGGAGAGAAACAACTGACCACTTAATACAAGTATAACAATCCATGATTGTGATTAAATCAAATAACACAATTAACAATAAAGAACAATCAACATGACCAACAAACAGAACAAAAAATGTAATTAATTACAAGAAGAAGAACATTCAACAAGTAGTTTAATCCATATAATCTTGTAATAGATTCAGAAAAAAGAAACACTCGGATCAATCAGATTAATTGAGATGAAGAAGAAAAATTGATTAGTTAATTTAAAAAGAAGAAAAATTTAAATTTAATTGAAAGAATTAATTTGAATGTTGAACTGTGACAATGAAGAACAAGAGACAAAGTGAACAGAGAAAAGAGAAAACATTTTGTTCTTTTCTATCTTCATTTTTTGTTCTCTTCTCTTTTTCTTCACTTCGCCATCTTGGTTTTAGTTTCTCTTTTCATTTCTTGGCAAGAAAATATTTCTCTTCTTTAATTTTGTCTATGAAATTTGTTCTTTTCTCAGTGTTTACCATGAAATAGAGTTAAAAATAGACTCGATTTATAAATAAATCTCGTAATGAGAAAGTCTCATTTGTAATTGGGTGAGTTCAATTTTCCTCTGTAAAAATTTTGTCAGTGAAAAAAATGAAGTCTAATCAATTCAGTGATTCCAATTGCAATGAAAATGGTTCCATGTTCATTTCCGATTTTTATTTAGTGTAAACATTTGGGTTTAATTGTTGTTTTTATTAGTGTTTAATGGATAATCTTAGAAATGTTTTTACTTTCTCAATTCTCATCATTTTCTTTCCTTTACTCTCTCATCATGTTTGTTTCTATTCACTTGGAATCGAGTGACTTTGTCGCTATGTGACATGGAAACTGTTTTGGGTGATTAACTTTCATCTATTTATTCAATGGAAATGAATTATTTTCTTGGATAATCAAGTAAGTAAAAATTTTTCTCCTAAATATTTAGATACATTTATTAATGGAACCATGAAATATTCAAATATATTCGTGTCTCTCTCTCGATTTGTTTATTATTCTTTGGCCTGAATTATCGTCAATACTTACTCTATATTCCCACAGAAACGAAACTTTTATGTTTACAATTGAGAATGAAACTAATTCAATTTGATTTATCTTCTATCTGGTTGATCTTTTTGATTCCATCTCTTTTGCTCCAATGGAACAATTGAAATCTCCTAATCAAATCAATTTCCTAATGAGATCAAGGTAAGAAAACTCGGAAGAGATTTTAATGATTATCGTTTATGAGACTTGCAAATTTTTCATTTTAAGAGAAAGTGACATTGAATGTGAAATTTTCAGGTGATTAGTTGAATTTATTTTTATCTTTACAGAAGAAAAAATTTGATAATTTGTTGCCTCAAGACATTTACATGATAATATTTGAGAAATCAAATAACCATCCATTGAAACGTTGATAATGTTATGATTGTAATAGGAAATATTTTGTATCCTTGTTAATAGTTTTTTATTTTATTTCTCTTACAGATTTTTTTGTGGGTTCATTAAGTATAAGAAAATCTCAATTAACCAAATTACATCATGGAGGTAAACGATTCTCTGATAGTAAGAATTGGAAAATCAGATTCAACCTTAACGATGTCCTCGAGAGATTATCTTTAACTCACCTTAACTCACTTGAGATTATCCAACTTATCAAAAAGTGATTACAGTTCCTTACATTTTCAGTGATCCACTTTTACCGTTGGTTCCTTCAACTCAATCGTTTCATTTCATCGTTTTCTTCATTCAGTAAACTAAATTGTTCTCCATTGACTCGATTTGGCTCCTTTTTCTTATATTCTGTGTATTATTTCATCTTTAATATGAATTCCATTTTCTCTGAAGCTTTTTGGAATTTTTTCTCACTTCTTTGTTTCTTTCTTCGCTTCAAGATTAATTACTGACATTAATCATTCTCCCATTGTTATTCCAAATTTCTAAGTGTCATCAAATTTGTGTTATTACTTTTGTTTTGTTTTTGTTCATAATCGGAAGTGATTCTAATTTACAAGAATCGACGATGATCCACTTTGGTATGATTCTTGATTTCTTTCAACGCAACATGTTCCTCATCTTTCTTGATTTCATGTTAACATTTATGTATATTGGTTTGTACAAAATGATCAACAATTCAAATAGTCGAATCTCTTCAAATAGCTAATTACTCGTTGACAATTAAAGCCATAAACTCAACAGCCAAAGAAGACTATGGATTCAAATAATAATTAAAGTAAGTAAATTTTCTGAACAATTTAAACATGAGATTCTTAATTTGTTTACCTTTTCTTTTCATTCTTCTTGTTTCCTTTTAGATGAAATCAGCTCATTTTCCTGAAGTTGATAACCAATCAAACGAGATGTAATGAAGTAAATTGCAAATAAACACCATTTTGCTTATTTAAATACACCATTGATTTTGTAATTATTTTTCACAATTTGAATTCTCCAAATATCATGTAAATTATTGTTGAATTTCACTTATACATGATGAGACAGATTCTCTTTTCGGGAAATGATCGCCATTGAAGGAAAACATTGATCCTCTGATGATTCTAATTCTTTCAAGGAGAATTAAATTTGATTCAGTTGAAGGTTAATTAGATTGTATCGAGGCGTAAATCATTAGCAGTCGTTTAACAGTAACTTCGCTAAACGTTTCCACTTAATCGTGATTAACAAAAATCATGGAAAATATTGGAAAAGAAAAAAATTGGTCATGGTCATTGGGACACTTTTCTATCATCATGAATACTAAAGACAAACAGGAAGGATAACAACAAGGAAGAGAGAATAAAGTAAAAAGAGGAAGAAGAAAAATTAAATTGATTTAAGAATTGATTATAAAATAAATTCCTATAATCATCTTAATTAGGATAAATAGAAGGTGAAAGAGAGTAAACAAAATATTAGATAATTAATGTTAATAAAACTGAAGAGGAAATGAAATGAAAAAGAATAGAAAATCAAACCAATAACCCTTAGGCCTAACAAAGAATAACAAACAAATCAACATCGTAAATTCACAGAAATAATCTAATCGGTAAATTCAACATTCTAATTCTAATTCTCCTTAATCACAGTAAGTTAAAAATAGAACAATTAACTAATCGTCACAATTGATTTCAGAGAAAAAGAAACAAGAAAAAAGTCACAATCGTATTAAAGAAATAAACAAATAGAAATCATAATAAGAAAGAAGAGAAAAAATGAAAACTTACCTTAAATATGATTCGTTTAATTGTTCCAAACAATAAAGAATAAAAAAGAAAAAAGAAATCAAGTTAATCACAATTAACATGAAGAATTAATTTCAATCCATCAACAAGAGAAAACAAATAAAAAGAAGCTCAATTTTTTTTTCTTTCTTTTTCTCTGTCTACGTTTTTTCTTCTTTTCCTCTTTCTTTTCTTCTCTGTCTTCCATCATGTGTTTTTTCTATTCTAAATTTTTCTCTTCTCAATTAGATTGATTTCTTTTTCCTTTTTAATTAACCCAAACCAATTTTATTATGTAATTTAAGGTTCACTTATTTTACCCCAACTAAGGTCAACAATTAACTTCAACTGTCAATTTAATTAGGGTAAGTAATTAATGTTTTTCTCTGCAAAGTTTAGTCTGTGTATGTGTTAACCTATGCAACGTTTTTTTCCTTACCTTTTATCTAATGGGTTTGTTTTTTTTTCTCTGTCTTAATTTGCATTTAGATTTGTAATTAACCATCATGGGAAAACGTGTTAAATGTTAACAGTGATAATTTGTTAATATGGTAAATTGTCTGAAAAGGAGAGAAAATAACAAACTATTAGGTGATTTGGTTTTCTAGAGAAGGAGAGTCAAAGATGAGTTTATTTGGTGATATTTTCGTTGTGATATTATCTCAGGTACTTTTCTTTGCCGGTGGATGGATATTCTTTGTGAAACAATTGTTCCGTGATTATGAAGTTCATCATTCATTTGTCCAGCTTATATTTTCTATTACATTCTCATTGTCATGTTCAATGTTTGAACTGATTATCTTTGAGATAATTGGAATCCTTGATCCAAGTACAAGATTTTTCTATTGGAAATTAATTTTATACATCATGTTATTTATCATCATTTTGATTCTACCTTTATATATAAGTTACTGTATTCTATGCAATGTAACTTTCATCGCCAAAAGATACATCAAACCGATGACTTTCCTCATCTGGTGTATATTTATCTTCCTATTCTGGAAGATTGGTGATCCTTTTCCCATTCTAAGTCCTAAACATGGTATTTTCTCAATTGAACAAGGAATCAGTCGAGTTGGTGTAATTGGTGTTACTCTTATGGCTTTACTTTCGGGATTTGGTGCTGTCAATTATCCTTATACCTCGATGACTTATTTTATGAGAGTTGTTACTTCGGCTGATGTTACCTCATTAGAGAAAAAGTTAATCCGAACATATGATCTAATTGTGATGAAAAAGAAAAGGATCATTTTAATTGAGAAAGACAGTCGATCACCATCAACAACTTCTCTTTGGACAAGTGTCATTCAAACCTTTTCATCTTCAGGTTCTGAAAGTGTATCACAATTAAGATCTGATTGTCGAACTTTAGAAGAATTGGCAAGACAATTATTTTTAGAATTGGTTGATATGAAAGCGATGCAAACACGAATGGAATGGTCAAAGACTTTTAAAGGAAAATATTTTCACTTTATTGGTTATTTTTTCTCTCTCTACTGTATATGGAAAATATTTATAGTAAGTAAATTCTCGTATTTGTTTTTAGTTAATCAATCTAATTGTTTGTTTACTTTTTTTCCCCCTCCTCTAGTCTACAATTAATATTGTGTTTAATCGTGTTGGTCGAGTCGATCCTGTCACTCGGGGTATTCAAATTGCTGTTAATTGGATTGGATTGGAAATTGATGTTAAATTTTGGTCACAACATGTTTCCTTTCTTCTTGTTGGGATAATTGTTATTTCCTCTATTCGAGGTCTTTTAATTGCTTTAACTAAATTTTTTTACGCCATATCAAGTCCTAAATCGTCAAATATAATTGTCTTAGCTCTTGCGGAGATAATGGCAATGTATTTCGTATCAAGTGTCGTTCTCATGAGGATGAATATGCCTCTTGAATATCGGACAATTGTTACTCAAGTTTTAGGAGATTTACAATTTAACTTTTATCACCGATGGTTTGATGTAATATTTTTGGTCAGTGCTCTTTCCAGTATTGGCTTTCTCTATCTGGCTCATAAACAAAGTAGCAATAAAGAGCTTTAACCATCGTATATTTGCTCTGGCTTTTATTTTTGATTTGATTGAAATTTTAACATTGATATTGATAATCGAATGAAATGTATTAGAACTATTTCGGGTATAATAGTAATAGAAGGAATGATGAAATCAGGAATGAAAAGAAAAAAGTGATACTCATCAGAAGTGTTGACGAAGTTTTGACGTTTCCTCTGCTATTTTCCACTGGATTAATGAAGTACACCCTTGATGCTTGGCTCTTTCTCTGTGACATCATTTTTGGTTGTTCCAAAAAAGTCCAAATTAAAATCTTGGGTAAAAGAGAATAAGCAATCACTTGCCTGTGTATCTCCTTGAGTATTTGGTGGGTATTGCAAGAAATCTGGCTCACAGTAATTACTACCAAATTCTAGATCAAGTTCCTTGTCTGAGTCATATTTAGCTCTCTTCGCTTCATTGGTGTTGTCTTCATCTATTACATAGTCTGGAGAGTCTTCAATTAGATCAACAACTTTATCCAATGGTGATGGTAACTCATTTTGATTTTTACGTTTGCGAGAATCCATATCTTGCTGTTCAAATGAATCGTTGAATGAACGGCTGTTCATATACTGATTTACACGAGGAGGCTCTTCAAATTTTACGTGATTCCGAATTGGTTGAGAGGTTGACGGTTCTTCATTTCGTTCCTGACTTTCTCCAAGGTTAAGTCGATGTGCTGAAGCTTTAACTGGTTGTTCATCGGTCTTTTCATTGTAACCAAAGGTTTGTGAAGTGTTGGTGGGACAAATTTCTTGTGATTGTGGTTTTGGCTGTGATGGATATTGTTGTTGCTGATGTCGATAGCTATTAGTTGGTACAGCCTTCTGAAAATCAACGCTAACATATTCACCTTTTCTTGCGCGTTTTTTGTGCTCATCGTTAGTTCCAACAAAGTGTCTCTTGATAGCTTTACGTCCATAATCATCAAGATTGAGTTTCTCGAGCAGAGTCACTTTTATATTCTCGAAAACTGGTGGTTCCAATTGCTTTTCGTTGACACAATATTTCAAAAGTTCAGCTTCTGATTCAATTCGCCTCTGAAGTATAACCAATTCATCACGCTCAAAACGTAAATCATTTTTAGCGTCATTTTCAACGCTGGTGATCAAATTTTCAGCATATCTTTTAACAGAGTCCCGACTCCAACCAGGTTTCAAATTTTTATTCATTAATATCTCGTTTTTGATTTCAATGAATTGTTCAGCCAAATTGGATAACTCATCTTTACCAAGAGCCAAATGTTCCAAATAATCATTATGATTACCAAAAGATTCTTTTAAATGGCCAATCCAACGTTTAGTAACATCTTGAACATATTGACCATAACAGTTGATCATTTTAGATTGCTCTAAACAATTGAGTCGATCGTTTAGTTCATTATGTTTAACAGCAATGTTGTAATCAAGATCCGCAATTTTACACTTTAAATCATTAATTGCATTTTCACAAACAGTGATTTCATTTTCCATTAGCTTTTGGCTATTTATCTTTTCAATCAATTCACTTTTTACGCAATCATATTTATTTACCTCACCAGTATCAATCATCTTGCTAACTGAAAGACAAATAAAACACCAAGAGAAACAATAAGATGGCACAGATAAAACTGTTAGAAAATCACAAAAATAAATTGTAACAATTAGAAAGAAAAAAAAACTGATCAAAAAAAGATTAAACTTGAGATAAAATGAAAGATCTTCAATCTAAAGATTAAAAGAGAATAAAAAAAAGTTCTTTTTGTCGAAAATTCTAAAAATCGAATTTAAATTCTAGCGTAGTTTATTTTTCTCCACCGAGATGGAGACACAATAGTAACCGGGTTTTTGTTTACTTTTAGAGAAAAAATTTTCTTCAATTAATTTGTTTTCTTAATTAATTTTCTTTTAATTTGGTTTTAGAATAATTAAGTTAATTGGGTTAAAAATTGATTTGTTAAGATAATATCTAAGTGTACAATTGTTTTCCATTCGAGTGATTTGATTTAAGGTAAGGTAAGATTGATGATTTTCTCGGTTGATCTTTTGAAGAAAGGAAAATGTTTTTTTCTTAATAACAACTGATTGTTGTGGTTTTGTTTTCTGGTTTTCGTAAATTAATTTGAGTTTAATGTTTGAATTGATTGGTTTTAATTTTATTTTGACAGTGGAATTTTTTATTAAGATTTTGTTTCTTTCATTTAGAGTTTCATCATCATGATTAATCTAATTCAAAGTTATGGTGGAGGTTCATCAGATGAAGAAGAAGGGGAAACTCCTGTTGGTACCAAGGTTCCAATTAAACCTTCAACTAGTGACAAGAAAGATATTGAATTACCTGTACCATCAATATCTGTTGATATTAAAGGTAAATTAAGTCAAATAAATACTTGCCCACAAGTGGATGAGTCTCATGTTAAAGATTTCCGACAAAAAACTGAATTTCAACCTGCTATTGATCTTGATTCAACTAAAAAGATTGCATATAATGCTAAATATGATGATCTTTATGCTCCCAATATTGGACCATCTTCACATCCCTCACGACCATCTTCCTCTCTTCCTCGGAAAAACTTTCTAACCGGACAAGTTGAGGTGACAGCGGTAAATGATTATCACTTTGAGACACAAAGACGAACCTTTCATTTCCATGGAATAGCTTATGATCCCTCTGATAATGCAACATTAAAAGATAAAGTTGTCAAAGGAGCTGTAAGTTGATTGAGAAAATATTTTCTACCAACAAGATTATCATTCCTATGAGAATTTATCTAACTGTTTGCAATTCTTTTACTCTTCTTATCACTTCATTTTCCAGGCATCTGCTCAATTGGGTTTACCAGTGGCCAGTGTTTCCGATGACCCTGAGGTAAAAGCTTATCAATCAAAAGATTCAACTAGCCGGAAGAAACGATTAAAAAACGATGACCCTATGGACATAGATAATTATTTAGGACCTTGGGCTCCATATGAAGGAGAAGTTACTGTTTCTCGACCAAGTGAAGAAGAGCAGAAAGAGATTGAAGAATTTATGTCAAAAAAGAAAAAGTTTACAGTTAATCGTGAAGAGAAAGAAATTGATGAGAAAAGTACAATTCACATTCCAGATCCATATGATTATCAAGGAAGATCTTTCCTTCATCCACCCCAAGATTTAGATGTTAATCTAAGAGGTGACAATGTACCTCGTAAATGTTTCCTTCCCAAGAGGATAATTCATACTTACACTGGTCATACAAAGGGTTTAACTGCTATTCGTTGGTTTCCTAGATCAGCTCATCTTTTCCTGTCCACTGGGATGGATGCGAAAATTAAATTATGGGAAGTCTATCGTGATAGAAGATGTATTTTAACCTATTCTGGACATAAACAGGCTGTTCGAGATGTTTGTTTCAATCGTCGAGGTGATCATTTTATCTCAGCGGGTTATGATCGCGGTTTAAAATTATGGGACACAGAAACTGGACAATGTGTTAAAAGATTTCCCAATCGAAAGGTTCCCTTTTGTGTCAAATTTAATCCTGACGATGATAAAAATCATCTTTTCCTTTCTGGTATGGCTGATAAGAAGATCCTTTGTTGGGACACAAGATCAGGTCAAATTATTCAAGAATATGATCGTCACTTGGGCGCTATAAATACGATCAATTTTGTTGACAATAACCGACGATTTGTTTCCTCTTCCGATGATAAAAGTCTTCGAGTTTGGGAATGGGACATTCCGGTTGATATTAAATACATCGCTGATCCTGGTTTACATTCAATGCCAGCGATTTCACCTTCACCTAACGGTAAATGGTTGGCCTGTCAATCGATGGACAATAAGATTCAAGGTTTCGCTTGTCTAAATAGTTTTAAATTAAACTCGAAAAAAGTTTTCACCGGTCATATGGTTGCTGGTTATGCTTGTACACCTGATTTCTCACCTGACATGTCATATTTAATTAGCGGTGATGCCGATGGTAAATTATTCATTTGGGATTGGAAAACAACCAAATTGTTAACTAAACTTCAAGCCCACGAAAATGTTTGTATCAATGTACTTTGGCATCCACACGAGACGAGTAAAGTTTTAACTGCTGGTTGGGACAATAGAATTCATCTTTGGGATTAGAATTGAGTTGATTAAAATAACATCTAAATTAAGCTTCTGTTATTGTTGAAAGCCAACAATTTATCTCCATTTTATATGACTAAATTGTTGGAATTATATCAATATACCCGAAAGCTTATTTTCATCGCCATTTTCACTTTCTCTTTGATTCACTTCATCTTTTCATCATGTTTGTAAAAAATAAACTATTTTCCATGTGTAACATCTAGAAAACATATCACTTCCTCTTCCCTAATTTACACCCATCGGCATCCTAATCAAGACTATTAAACAGCGAGACAATCAAAGAAAGAGAGAGAGAGAAACCAATTAGTTTACCCTTGATCTTGATCAATTGTGATAAAGAATCATCAATGTAATTTAATTTCCCATCATCTAATCAACAAAAAGAATTGAATCTTTTGTCCGTCTCACTACTCCATGAACTCCATGAATTAAGAGCAAAGTTGACAGACCCAATATAAAATATTAAATTCATTTAGATTGAATAAATAACAATTAAAGATGACGAACAAAAAAATAAACAAAACTCACTAATCAATGGAAACAAAGAAATAAAACCAAAGGAAAGACACAGAAAATGAAAAAGAAAACCAATTGTGAAGACAATGTTCCATTCTAACGTCTAAATTATAATCCAAATTAATTTAAACACCAAGATTATTAAGAAATTGCGATAAAAATTAAGATTCTTAATGGATTAAAATTAAGAAGATTTAATTTTATTTTCTTTCAAAATTATCTACATGCTATTTTGTTCACCAAACATGGCAAATGCCTTATGCATTTTCGTCTACAGGGTGTTCCTGAGACACCGAACTATTCGTTCAGTTTACAGTTAAATTCTTTATTAACGAGAATTTCATAGATGCAAATTAGATCTTTGATTTTTTCTGTAAGATTC